GTTTTTTCTTGACATTAGGTTGATGTCCTTGTTTTTTCTTGACATTAGGTTGATGTCCTTGTTTTTTCTTGACATTAGGTTGATGTCCTTGTTTTTCTCTTGACATTAGGTTGATGTCCTTATTTTTCTTGACATTAGATTGATGTCCTTGTTTTTCTTGACATTAGGTTGATGTCTTTGTTTTTTCTTGACATTAGGTTGATGTCCTTGTTTTTCTTGACATTACATTGATGTCCTTGTTTTTCTTGACATTAGGTTGATGTCCTTGTTTTTCTTGACATTAGATTGATGTCCTTGTTTTTCTTGACATTAGGTTGATGTCCTTGTTTTTCTCTTGACATTAGGTCGATGTCCTTGTTTTTCTTGACATTAGATTGATGTCCTTGTTTTTCTTGACATTAGGACATCAACCTAATGTCAAGAAAAACAAGGACATCAATGTATTAAACCAGGACTCTACGATTTGTTCTATTAAACCAGGACTCTACGATTTGTTGTATTAAACCAGGACTCTACGATTTGTTGTATTAAACCAGGACTCTACGATTTGTTCTATTAAACCAGGACTCTACGATTTGTTCTATTAAACCAGGACTCTACGATTTGTTGTATTAATCCAGGACTCTACGATTTGTTCTATTAAACCAGGACTCTACGATTTGTTCTATTAAACCAGGACTCTACGATTTGTTCTATTAAACCAGGACTCTACGATTTGTTGTATTAAACCAGGACTCTACGATTTGTCGTCAGCGAAGACAAAAAGTAATATTTCCTTAACTGTAAAATCTTTGACCGTAGTCACTGCAATGTTTCCCCGGGTTTTAATAAATACACATAAACAAATAAATTTGACTTGTAGTCCGACGATTTTGTTCTACAATTGAAAATAAAACTGAAGCTCGAAGGAAGCGGGATTGAAAGCTAACCCAAGGCAGTAAAATAGCGAACACCAGGCACGAAGCTAATATTTCTGCTCAGTTTCAGCCTCAATTGTTTCATTCTTTATGTCAAGTCAGATTTTATTTCCTTCTAGACTTGTAGTTTTTATACACGTATATAAGTATTTCTAGCAGTAAGAACAACGCTTGAATGGTTATTGTTGTGTTTTATTAATAATAACATATAAAAGTTAGTCGTTTTCTTTACCGTCGTCATATTTGGGTAGCTTAAAACTAGTGTTAGTTTTAAGCCAGTAATAATGTAAGTTTTTGTCACCTAATATGAAGTAGTATTTTTTACGTTAACTTCCACGTGATTTGGTATTATTTACTAGCTAAATGATTTAATAATGATTTTATTCAGGACATCTGCAGTGGAGCAGCATTTTATGCAAATTTATGTCACCAGAACCTCGTGGATTCTGGATATTATGATGATGAAGGCCCTTTCGATATTACGGAACAGGTAGTCATATTTATGATGTTCTTAGATTATCCAAAACGATCTAATATAGATCTGCTCTATATTACTGATATGGTAAGTAATTGTAAGTGTACAGAGTAACGTTTTGATGTGAAAAAAATAAGTTATTATCAACACGTTAATTATTATATAACGATCTTGACTGAATTGAGTTTATCGGTATTATAGTGTTCTATATTCATTTAGATCAGATTTAATCAGCAAATGTTTGCATTAGGAAAATTCTACAACCTATGGCACTGTTTTGCCCATGGCCAGGTGGTTAGGGCCCCGGCATGGCCAGGTGGTTAGGGCGCTCGACTCGCAATCTGAGGGTCGCGGGTTCGAATGCCCCGTCCCACCAATCATGCTCGCCCTTTCAGCCGTGGGGGCGTTATAATGTGGCGATAAATCTCACTATTTGTTGGTAAAAGAGTAGTCCAAGAGTTAGCGGTGGGTGGTGATGGCTATCTGCCTTCCCTCTAGTCTTACACTGCTAGATTAGGGACGGCTAGCGTAGACAGCCCTCGTGTAGCTTTGCACGAAATTCTAAACAAACAAACTGTTTTGCAATGCGACACTATAAAGTTCATGTCTAGCTCATTCTAGTTTGTTTTTTATTCTGGGAACAATAAATGATAGATCTTAAGTTAGTAGTAGCTTTTCTTCCGATAATGAAATAAAAACCTTAAATTAAATCAGTTGTTTAATGCGTGTAGATCTTAGATAAGATTCAGTGCTTATTTCTTGGCTTTTGAATTACGCGCAAAACTACTCGAGGGCTATCTGCACTAGCCGTCCTTAGTTTAGAAGTGATGGACTAGAGGGAAAGCAGTTAGTCAACACCACCCACCGCCAACACTTGGGCTACTCTTTCACCGACGAATAGTGGGTTTGACTGTAACATTATAACGCTCCCATGGCTGAAAGGGCGAACAATGAAGCTTTCGGTACTACTTTGTAATATTGGTTGATTATAGCTGTTACAACAAAGGTATGTAGATGAACTCGGATTACTTTAAATTGTTCTGTACGCAAGTTGAAATCTGAGAAGCCCAAATAAAGAAAAAAACAAGGACATCAACCTAATGTCAAGGAAAAAACAAAGACATCAACCTAATGACAAGAAAAACAAGGACATCAATCTAATGTCAAGGAAAACAAGGACATCAATCTAATGTCAAGAAAAAACGAAGGACATCGACCTAATGTCAAGAAAAAAACAAAGACATCAACCTAATGACAAGAAAAAACAAGGATATCAATCTAATGACAAGAAAAACAAGGACATCAATCTAATGTCAAGAAAAAACAAAGACATTGATCTAATGTCAAGAGAAAAACAAGGACATCAATCTAATGACAAGAAAAACAAGGACATCAATCTAATGTCAAGAAAAAACAAGGACATCGACCTAATGTCAAGAGAAAAACAAGGACATCGACCTAATGTCAAGAAAAACAAGGACATCAACCTAATGTCAAGGAAAAAACAAAGACATCAACCTAATGACAAGAAAAACAAGGACATCAATCTAATGTCAAGAAAAACAAGGACATCAACCTAATGTCAAGAAAAAACAAGGATATCAACCTAATGTTAAGAAAAACAAGGACATTAATCTAATGTCAAGAAAAACAAGGACATCAATCAAATGTAAAGAAAAACAAGGACATCAATCTAATGTCAAGAAAAACAAGGACATCGATCTAATGTCAAGAAAAAAGGACATCAACCTAATGTCAAGAAAAAACAAGGACATCAATCTAATATCAAGAAAAAACAAGGACATCAATCTAATGTCAAGAAAAACAAGGGCATCAATCTAATGTCAAGAAAGAAACAAGGACATCAATCTAATGACAAGAAAACAAGGACTTCAACCTAATGTCAAGAAAACAAGGACATCAATCTAATGTCAAGAAAAACAAGGTATTAAACCAGGACTCTACGATTTGTTCCAACAAATCGTAGAGTCCTGGTTT